CGGTTTAAGATTGTAGAAATATCAGAGATGGGTCCATACAGCTGTGATTTTAATTGGATTTTATCCCCCAAGAGATGTTAAGTATAGCTCTCAGCATCCGAGTGTAGGTTCCATCAAGCTTAGACTCCACGGTTTAAGATTGTAGAAATATCAATGCCGTCCAAACAGTGTAGGTTTTATCCAAGAGATGTTAAGTATAGCAGCATCCGAGTAACGGTTCCATCAAGTCTTAACGGTTTATTTAGTGTTGTTTAGTTAACCGTGAATAAAAAGGATGCAATCTGAACATGTGATCTCTCGGACAACCTCAAACGGAACTTTTTTTTTTTCGTGCCACTATAATGTCGGTTTTAATGTATGCCCTATATATTCACCATGGACCATTTTATTCAAGGCAGCCCAGGCTTTAATTCTTATTTTCACATACTTTTCAATAGAATTTATTACGCTTACTTGGTATGTAAAAGATTCGACAGATTTTATTGATTCATCTGAAACAGTTTGTATTTAGACCAAGGGTCGGCATTTTGACCGGCCCGCGAGCCTGATTACCAATGACTTTATTTTTAACGAGGCTTTCGAATTAGACTATCTGCCAGTTATCTTTCATGAGACTTATTTTACCAAGTTGCGTTGCCTACGTTTAATGTCAAATAATGGATACATATTTGTTATGACGCTTGGCTACATTAAAAGATAACAGAAGCGAAAGGAACGATAAAGTGAAAGAGGCCAGGGAGGGACTGACATCCGAGGTAGCAGAAATCTAAAAATAAGTTAAACATACGCTCATTATACATACATGCCTCATGGATGTGTGGATGATACCGCATGTATACGTACGTAAGTTTATATGTTTGCAACTATTTGTACTCGTATGTATGGGTATTTGATGTGTGTTGTGTTTTGTGTGTTGATGTGTGTGTGTGGTTCGTTTGTGGAACAATTTTCAAGAATTTTCAATAAGTTTCAAACCGACACGTTATAATTTCATCCATTTCACTTCGGTTGATTTTTTTTTCACTTTGAAGTATTTTGATGTTCCTTGAGGAAAAGTAATTTTTGTTAGGTTTTTTTTTAATTTTAGATTTTCTTTTTGTTTTTCTGATTTCTCAATGTTTATTTTCATTATGTTTTTAAATATTTAGGTTGACAGGGGTCTGCATATGTAATTTTCCTTAATTTTTTCATTAATGGCCTTCGTCCGGCCCGCGACCCGTCATTATAACACGATCCGTCCCGCGGGGTCGAATCAGTTGCCGACCCCTGATTTATGACAAGACGGTAAATTGCGGTTAAAATGTTTCAGAAAATGAATGGCATCACAAAGTGAAAAACATACACACGTGAAATGAGAGGAAAAATGTCATGACTTCATTTTCGTTCAAAAAACTGGTATCGCCACCTCAATAAATTAGACATTTATAATTTTTTCGGAAAGTAGTCTGTGATGAATAAACATAACTTATACGTTTTATTCTAAACCTTTGGTTAAATATTTTTAGTTCTGCCATTAAATTAAATATACATGCACACACGAATATATACAGAGACACAGAGTTTGAATTAAATTCAAATAAGCAACGCTGTCTAGAGGATTAACTTCCGTTTATGTGTGACAACAAGCACTGGATAACAAAAAGTGTATAGCGTCCCTTTGAAGTCATTTTATGACTCCGTGTGTATTACAATTGAATATATTTTCCCTTAGTTTTAGGATTAGAAATGGACAATTTGGATTTTGAATTTGATCACCCTGCCGTCAGCGAAGCGAGGCGTACCGAAAGAGTATGAAGATAAAATGAGTGATAAATTACATTTTACTGATAAAGGGGATGATATTAGTAGAAGTAATTTTAAAAGAAGTTGCGAAATATTTTAGAATCATTTTTATGTAAGCTACTTGTAAAGGAAAGAGAAATGAAATAAAATTTCACATTGTAGTCGTGTTTCACAGCCAATGGAAAGAAAAATGTGGCGAATGCCAAAATCTAACCAAAACATGATTCAAATGAAACAAAATAATGAGAAATCAGAGTAAAAATAAAAAAAAATGAAATAAAAACCAAGCTAAAACTCACGGGAAAATGCATAAAAATAAGAGAGATAAAAATATATTTATCTTTTTTGTGGTTGTTTTATCTTGTTAGAAATGCTTCCGAATATAGAAGCAGATAGTCAATCTGAATGTGATCTGCATACGGCGTCTGCAAACTTTACATACCTTACGGGCGACTGATCAAAGTACAATAAGGCGTAAGTTGAATGACGGTGAGGTAAAGAGATTACCTGCTGAGTAAAGCGGGTTGTTGTTTTGCAGAAAATAGATCCGCCATTGGCAACTAAGCCGTTCCCGGCATCACGTGTTGAGAATGATAATGAAACGAGTAATAAATCTCCGACCGTTTAACTCGGCGCTTATTCATAGAGATTCAAAAGAAAAAATGGAAATGCATCATTATGTTTGTAACCTACGAATTAATATATACATATATAAAGAAATAAATAGATATATCTGATGGGTGCTGACCAGTTCAGGGGCCACGAAAATTGACATAAATTGATAAAATGTCCAAAGAGACCTAACGGGTCTAGTTTTAAATGCAGAGGAATGTTAAGTATATTGACACACAAACATATATTTATCAACTTCATATATTCACGTTTGCATGAAGTTTTTTTTTAATAATTCCTTTATATATTATTCAATGCGAATAATTATCTTGCTTTCCGCGTGTAATTTTAGTATAAATTATTTTCTGGACACATTCGACTATCACCAACTATCAGGTTGGAAGGAAAATTCTCGCATTTCGAAAAACTGAATTTATTTAGAAACCACCACAAATTTCCTTGAAACCAATTATTTTCGAAAAATATTTAGTGTGTTAAAATCTGTAAGTCGATATGTATACACTGCGTTTTTTGGTGACTTTAATTTTGAAAATAGACGTTAGTTTTACTAATTTGAAATTAAGACAAGAAGGAAGAAGCACTGAAGGTAGATTTTTTACTAAATAAAGAGATTGGTATACGTGAGTAAGAAGAGAAGGTAATAAGTGCATGTTAGGAGGATATGTAAGATAGATAAGAGTTATTTCTAGACTTCTCGTGGTTGAGATTGTAATGACCTGGAGAGCATCCTGTAAGGATTTTGTTCCACATTGCAGCGTTATTTGGGAAGAAGCAGCCAGAGTAGAAATTCCTTCTTACTAATTGAATACAAAGAGTGACGATGGTATCAGTACATATTTTAAAGCGGATATTCGCTGTAAAGTTTAAAACTAGTGGAACTAAGGGTTATGACTCGTCAGAACATTTTCTGAGTCGATAACTTGTAACGGGAAGGAAGTGAAAAAAAAACATTACTAAAAGCTAAAAACGACAAAAAGTTATGAAAAGTCATAATCACACATGTCATGAAGGGATACGTCTTATAGCAATAGATTATTGCGTTATTTAATTAAGCCTATTGTCATACATTAGGATTTTTCAATATTTCAGGTTTAAAACCTATGCTATATGCATGAGTTTCTATATAAAAATAACGTATCTAATGATTCCATGGATGCATAATCTATTGCGACTGCAACGGACAATGAAACCCGAAAACAACACAGAAAGAAGACATTAAAAAAAAATCACAATCGGCAAAAACATACGTAAAAAGTTTACATGATGTAAATTTCAACCCCCAATGCATTTTATAGTAATCAGCTAGGGAAGCCACACGGCAACCCACTTAACTTACTTTCTCAACCCAGCCACCGAACATAATGGATTAACTCTGAAAATCCATCAGCCATAGATTATCCACCTATTCTTCTGATGAAAAGGATTTTAACGAAGCCAAAAATTATGATACGGTACTAAAATAATATTTAACAAAACTACCATTCACACCAAACGAAAGCAAAAAATTCAACAAGCATGGAACTACTAAATTATTCGAATCCAAATTAATCTTTATCCAAGATAAACAAGTCCAGGAGGTCCCACGCCACGCTGAGTCCAAGGATCCAATGGAAACGTCAAAGTAATCATTAGAATTGTTTTTAGCCCATTGTTCTTTGTTGTAAAATAGGACGGATCGTTTAAAGTCTATAATTATATCCATTTCACTATTAGTTGAAATATCGTAATATTCCTTAGCAAATTCTAAGGTAAAGATGTCCTTGGAGATAGATAATTAATAGCCCACTATGTACAAATGAACAGTTCTTCTTATCCCGATTTTGTTTGAACCAGTCGATGACATCTTTGGTACAGATCCACTGAAGAAATTCGAGGCGGTTTTTAAATTGTTTGTTAACCTTTTCACGTATAACCTTGCCAATTCACCCTATTTCGGGCCTGTTGGGTTGATCAGTCTAGTCGAGTGATGGTTTACAAAATTGGGTTTATAATTCTTGAGTATGTGTAGGATTCTTTGGTGCACAATTTGCTCACTCTAACGCTATAACGTTTTAGGTTTTCATGAATGGTTTTACTGACATTATTTATTTTATCCACTAGTTTAATAGTCGTGGCGTATATTTTCTTTCTTATTTTTATTTTTTGTAATTCTTAGTCAAATTGTTTATAACTAGATTCTCGTATTGTATTCGACGTAGTTTGTGAAAATTTGCCATTTTATCCGATTAAACGAAAATTTTATCGGACTTATTACTATCCATAATGATGCTGTCTAGATTGTTTTGAACAGTGTATTGTATTTGTGGAAAGCGATTTCTTTAATAATGGCTAATAGGTTGTTTTCAACGCCATATAACTGCTCTATGTGAGGTACCATCTTTAAACATTTAAAACCGTAATAATTCAGCTTTTTGGAATAATTATGAACAAATAGATAGAAGTAAGCTCTCCACTTCATTCATCGAAGAAGGTATTCGGTTTGTAAGACTAATTTCTCGAAATAATCCCGTTTGTTTGGATTAGGGATGTTTTTCAAAGATATTCCGAAATTATTTTCATACATGTTTGCGAAAGTAATATCAATGTCAAAGACAAAGGAGAACGTCAGTGATGAATGTCCGAATACATATAAGGAAAGAATACATATAAGGAAAGAATACATATAAGGAAAGAATACATATAAGGAAAGAATACATATATAAGGAAAGAATACATATAAGGAAAGAATACATATAAGGAAAGAATACATATATAAGGAAAGAATACATATATAAGGAAAGAATACATATATAAGGAAAGAATACATATAAGGAAAGAATACATATATAAGAAAAAATACATATATAAGAAAGAATACATATATAGGAAAGAATACATATAAGGAAAGAATACATATATAATATATAGGAAAAGAATACATATATAAAAGAAAGAATACATATAAGGAAATAAGAATACATATATAAGGAAAAGAATACATATATAAAGAATATATAAAGGAAAGAATACATATAAGGAAAGAATACATATAAGAAAGAATACATATATAAGGAAAGAATACATATATAAGAAAAGAATACATATATAAGGATAGAATACATATAAGGAAAGAATACATATATAAGGAAAGAATACATATAAGGAAAGAATACATATAAGGAAAAACAATACATATATAAGGAAAAGAATACATATAAGGAAAATAATACATATATAAGGAAAAGAATACATATAAGGAAAGAATACATATAAGGAAAGAATACATATATAAGGAAAGAATACATATAAGGAAAGAATACATATAAGGAAAGAATACATATAAGAAAAGAATACATATAAGAAAGAATATACATATAAGGAAAGAATACAATAAAAGAAAGAATACATATAAGGAAAGGAAAGAATACATATAAGGAAAGAATACATATAAGGAAAGAATACATATAAGGAAAGAATACATATAAAAAGAAAGAATATATAAGGAAAAGAATACATATAAGGAAAGAATACATATAAGGAAAAATACATATAAGGAAAAGAATACATATAAGGAAAGAATACATATAAAGGAAAAAGAATACATATAAGGAAAGAATACATATATAAGGAAAGAATACATATAAGGAAAGAATACATATATAAAGGAAAAGAATACATATAAAGAAAAAATACATATAAGGAAAGAAACATAATAAAGAATACATATAAGAAAAATACATATAAGAAAAGAATACATATAAGGAAAGAATATAAGGAAAGAATATATAAGAAAATACATATATAAAAAAAGAATACATATAAGGAAAAGAATATATAAGGAAAGAATACATATAAGGAAAGAATACATATAAGGAAAGAATACATATAAGGA